CTGAAAAGAAAATAGATTTAAGATTAATGGAAAAAAAAAAAAAAAAAGAGAGAAAAAAAAGTTAAAACCAGATATTATTAATATTAACAAAATGGTTGCAATGAAATATTCCGTTCTAGCCAAATTCCTTACAAATAAACTCGCTTCGCAGATTCAAAACAATGTCCTTTGGGAAATGCTGAGGTTACAAATGACAGTAAATGTATAATTAGGTTTATGAGACTATTAGGAATCAGTATCAGGCTAAGGAGAGTGGCTATAGAGTGGTTTTAAGAAACACGCTGGTCTTTCATGCACATTCCTGAACTTTCTATAGAAAGCAGAGTCTCCCTAAACCATTTGCACAGCTGAAGTCTCAGTTTTCAGGCCAAGTTCCTGCTACAACCAGGCAAAGTCAGCGATGTGAAAATCAGATTTATGTCATTTCTCCCCGCACAAAATTCTTACAGTTGAAACTACTTCAAAGCTCCTCCACATGTACACCTGGCCCATTTGCTGGCCCAGTCCTCTGCTCCACCTGGAAACACAAAGCTCTGCTGCCCATTCCAAGGGTGAACACTGTTACCCCTGGATATTCGGTACCATCAGTGAGATGGACATGTCAGCTGGGTAGAGGTTTCACTGCACCTCTCTAACACTTTCTATAATCAAAGAATTTCCGTTTGCTTTCAGGTGTCACATAGACCAGCAAAAGTAATCTTGTAATTACAGTGTTGTCCTGTGTACAAGGGCCAATATAGTAAACAAGCTAAGTTTTTTTAATATCCTTGATATCTATTAAAAAATAATAAAAAAAAATAATATTTTTTAGCCTTATGTGAACATTAACCACAGACTGGTCTCATTCTGTGTAACTACCTTATTTTTCAGATACATATATGAACTCACTTTTTTTGAAAAGAGGCCAGTTGTCTTATTTTATCACGTATTTGCTCCTCCACAAGTGGAATCTGATTAGTGGATTTCTAGCTAATCAGCTGAGGGAAAGCTGAGAAAGGAATGTTCCCATGGCATATGCAATTCTCCACCACCCACAACTGTGGGTCCTGGCTGTGAGGTAGAGAAAAGGTCCAAATTATCTGAACTAGATATTCCCACCCACTCAGTGACATCTTCAAGGAAGGAGCAGAAATTATCACAGACAAGGTAGTCTTTAATTCTCCATCTCGCTGAGCCAAAATTTGCAAGATTAGGAGGGATTCATTTCGTATGGAAATCCCAGCAAATAACCTGCTGGGACAACTGTGCTGGCTGAAGGCAAAAGGGTTCAGCACAGAAAAGAGAGAGACTTTACATTCCCATCCCTGACTCTCTGAGCAAGCCCAGGGTCACAGATTTGCAGAATTCACATGCTTTTCCCTTTCCAAGTATATATAACCACACACTTTGATGGAAAAAAATAAAAAGTAGAAAAAAATTCAGGAAGTTCAAACTTCCAAGTGCACGTTGTTAATACTCAGTATTGTGAATTAACCATTTTTTCCCATCAACAGAGTCCAGCATTTTGAGTAAATGTAAAGTTTATCTATGTTTTTATAAAATACTCTAAAATCCGGGTGTTTCAGTATGAAGTAAAACCATTGTAGCTGAATGCCTTCAGGTGTACTGTCCTGTTTACTTAGTAAATCCAAATTTCTGTGAAGTGATAACACATTAAAAATGAGTTAAGCTATTAAAGTACCACAAGTTCAGGAATGTGGGCTCTATATCTTACTCCACACCTACGTTTACTTTAGATTTGGGCAGAGAAGTCCTCGTTGCTACCAAAGGTATACATGGATATCCAGGGCTAACACTGTGTCAGGCAATCACTTTTCTTAAGACCTGGTTTCAAACTCAGGAAAATAGGTCTATAAGACTTATATAAAACGTATTAATTCCTCTTTCTATATCAATTCTATTTAAATGTTTGATATCCATGAATACCTATTTTTTGGAAACTATCCAAGGCAGTTACAACAAAGAAAACAGGCAGTTCCCACTGAAAAAAAACAGAAGGAAAATCAATCACAACAGTCTGTGTTGGGTAAATAACTTTGAGATTCTTTGAGCTGGAAAGGGAGACTGAGAGTTCTTTGAGCAGGTTTGACACTGATCCCACCCTCTGGAGCCTCTGTAGTAGGAAGAACTTCCATAAACCTCAGCTTTGGTAACCCCTCCACATTAGGATGCAAACATAATTTAGAGATTTGATAGTAGCCATAAGAGAATCTCTTAGGTCTTGTCCATCTACACTGAAGAAGACATTACCTCTGTATGCCTATGTTTAAAGTCTGAGGTTCCATTTTAAACATCAGTATAAAATTTGAATTCTTTTCAGCCAAATCTCATTCAAACAGTAAGAAGACATCTAGAAAGGGAAAACAATTAATTCAAAGCTAGACATGTTTTCAGCTTTATAAAATTTCCCTCATGGCCCAAGTAACACAGAGGAGGAACTGCCTGGACTATTATACAGCTTTAATGCTATGACTATTATTTTTAAAGCAATGGGACTCAGTATATTTCTTTTTATTCTTTTTTCTATCTGTTTGCTGCAATACTGAGCAAGGGCTGTAAATTTAGATTTGTAGCAATCACATTAATTTTGGCCAAGATTAAGGGCTGCATTTTGTGTCCATCCTACACCCCCTTCCTGCAGGATCCTTGACTATGTCCCAGTGCCTCACAAAACAGTCTCCTGGGTCACCCATGACAGGGGGTTAAGTAGCCTAAATGCAAGGGCCACTTGTAAGGAAGGAACAAGCCTGAATACATATTGTTTGGGCATTATTAAATTATTATTATATTTAAGTCAACTGCTGAAGTAACTGGCGAATTTACAACACTTATGTAATAAAACACGTTGCTAATATTGTATCATGATTTGACAGAAATCTTGACAACTAAGGGGAAAATATGGATAAACACACACATTAAGCAATTTAAAAAGATGAAAATATGACCGTTTCAACCCAGCGTTGACTTCTGAGTGCATTTTATTATTCTTTTGCCAAAGTAGTAATCACTTATTGTCAGTGTTTTACTTTTTTCATCCTACTATATAAACCATGTTTCTTCCTTAAAACAAAAAAGCTGTGAAGTAATCCTAACGTGAGAACTGTGAGCAAAGTCAATCCTTGCTCCTTAAAAAGAATGTTTTACATTTATATTATGATAATGCTAAAGTTTGTACTGTGATATTAACATGGAAATGATATTTCAGAATTAGTAATGCATATATTCTTGTTAAAATAAGAAACACTTCTTCTTTTTCTTTTACAGGATATTGAAATTCCACTTAAATAAATGTGGGCAATGTAAACACAAAATAAAACATAAAAAGCATTCTTCCAAGTCTTCTGTAAAAGAAAAAAAAAGTATGTGAAATTAAATCACAAAGTTCTCATTTTTGCACCTTCCTAAATACATTTGACATATGTAAGCACAAACATGGAAGAATATATTTCCAAAGGGGAAAGAACACATGCTCAGGTATTATCTGGGAAAAAAAAAATGCATTGAAATTCCTCTGTGATGAATAGACTTTTTTTTTTTCCTCCTCAGGGTGACCTCTACCTTCAGAATATGATGGTTTTATTATGATTAATAAATTTCATTTCCACAGAGGAAAGGAACAGTGTCAGCTTAAACTTAAAGCAAGTGGGTTTCTTTTTAAATGCTAATTTTTAAACACGCCCTTGCATGACACCAAATTTAGAAGCTCAGAAGGTTAGCAGAATAGATTCTGATTTCCATGCTGAAAATAGTAAGAAGGATTTAAACTATATTGTCACACTGCAAATCAGTAAGCTGCTTCAGTCACACAGACACTGGTGCATTTATTCACTATTATTGCCAGCGTGCTTACTCCTCGTTAAAATTAGTGGCATTTAAACACTTTGTGACCATTTACACTGGAAATAATCATTCTAGGTAAACAATTAACTAAAATTTAGGACAAGTATTTTGAATAAATTAATAGTCAATGGCATTATCTGTGTGTATTTTACAGGATGTTAAATCAGTGTATCGAAACCAATACGTGCACTCACAAATCCTTGTCTAAGAACACATCTGATGAATGATTTTGATGCATCATTAATTAGCACAAGGTATGTTCCACTAATTTCCAGTATCTGGGACATGTATTCAGGACATAATGGGGAAAAAAAAATGTTTTGCTAGCATTTTGTTACCATACTGACAGTGGTTCTTAAATAGCTGGACTAACAACTTACTGGGAAATAACTGAGAAAAAAAAAGTGTAGCCATGCTGACATCTGTAAATACAACTGTAAACTATCCATCATCTATGTTCTTTACTTATGTTACTCCTCAATCTTGTCAATCATCTTCAGCAGAGGGTTTAAAAATGCTAAAATACTACATGAAGGATAATTTGTTGTCCATGGAGCAAATGAAAAAAAAAAAAATAATTAAAAATGGGAAATTGTGAGATTTATTTTAGTAGGGCTTTTTAAATGGAATATATAAGTCTTCAGCAGTAGGTACTGTTAAAGTCTCTCTAATTGTAATTACAATTTCAAGATTTTAAGTTCTTTAGTTCTTTAGTACTACAGCTGTATTTTTATACAGATGTAGCACAGATAGTGGAGATCCAATACTGGACACATTTAGAAGCTTCTTAATAACATACATATTGTAGGGTTTGATAACAGTATCAGTAAGGAAAATTTCACCACACAAATAAAAACCAAGTTAACACATTTTTCCACATCTACACATCACTGGAGGAAATAAAGAAAATTATGAATGTGCTTAAGAACTATGAAGAGTGAAGTTAAGAATTGGTCACTACCTCAGCTAAACCTAGCTGAGATCTCATCCCCCATTACTTGCATGTTACAAGCAAAGTGTGTGTACCACTGAAAAGCTCATATTTCTAAGTTTTCCAAAATATTACCCATTCTTTACCAGCTTTGGTTATAACTGAACAACCAAGTGAAAAAATAGTTTCTTCTTCAGACCTATATGTGTTGAATCTTTAACCAGAATAA